CATATACTTGACTCGTAGTTGTTATCGTTATCTCCCTAACTCTAGAGAATACCCTACGTAAACCTTTGTACGAACTTTACGTTAAAACTAAGATATTTTATGTTAAATCACCATATCATTATCTTATATTGATAAAAATGGAGAAAGTATATTTTGAATAAGTAAAAATGGACTTCACAACTCGCATCCCAAGAATGCAGCAGACCATTGATTAACACGGTCGACTGCTTAGTGGAGCGGTCCACTAGGTGAACCATCTGAAAGAAGAGACTGTAACTGCTATCCAGATGGTCGACCGTGAGTAAGACGGTCCACCGATGTCAATCGCTAACGATGTTCCCACTGAAGGATCTTCTTCGCTGCAACACGACGGTCCTCTATTGTCCCACACGGTTTAAGGCTTGAACTGTCGTTACTGTTCACGCCAAACCCAACTTAATCCCTGAGACGGTCCTCTAGAGCTAACAAATAAACGGTCGATCGTACAACCTCGATGGTCGACCGTCACGGTGATTCCAGAGAGCTATAGGAACGGTCGACCGTGGCTTTGTAACGATCGACTATGCCTCGTCCAGTAGCTTCAAATCTTGCATAGTAGCCTTGGTTTGTGTAATTAACTTTAATATGTTGATAAATAATTAAGAATGATATCATGTTAGAAACTTAGTAGAATACTTTTGAGCTTAGATGTGAACGATTTAGGTGTTAAGTATGTACATGCATAAAGTCTTAGATGCGATCAGGCACCCACATATCATTCAACCTGTGTATCCAGAACTAGGAGGGTATTTATACCCAAACTCAGAAAGGTCAGAGACCAAATTTTTAACCTAAAGAGAAGGGTGCTCGGACCCAGACTCATACAGGGGAAGTCTTATCGAGTTCTTTCGCTAGGGAGATTGACTCTACAAGATGGCGAGAATTAAATGGACTAAATGATAGAAAATGAATAAGGTTATTATCTAGTTTTTAAATGAGATGTGATGGACTTATGAAAATAGAATAATTGACTTATCATATTTAATCATTTGACTTGTATGTTGTGTTTATGAATTATCTTATACGGAGTAGAACCTATGCTGTTGTACCACTCAACAGTTTTGCTAAGCGTACAGTTGTCTTTGTTGATTGATTGTGCGTAGGTAAAAGACGTGATGGAGCCAATCCTAGAAGGCGTTGAGGTGTAAGAGATGGCGGCATGACATGGGAATAATTTAAGCTTATTGTATTTCTTTATATTAAGTTAAACATTTTTGGGTCTTGAAACCACTTGTGTGCCCTTTTAAACTATTTAAGCTTCCACAATGTTTTACTTTATTTCATACTCCAAAACTATCTATGATATTGATGTCGTGAATTATTGGAATTATTATTATTAAAATGTTTTCTTCAAATTATAGAGGTTATTTTACCAATTTGCTAACGCTTCGGCTTGCTAATCTAAATGAACTAGGTTACACGGTTCGGGGTATTACAATTTATTCGGTGATCAGAGCGCCCTCATCCATACTTATATCCTTCCAAAAAACAACCATTCCAAAACTTAAAAAAACTCGAAAACATAAGTTGATCACACCAATTATCTTGCACCTCACCTCGTCAGTAGTTCATTGTGAGAAAAAAAATCAAAATAAAAATTATGGAAATTCACTAGAGCCTCTACAAACAATTCAAAGATATCCAGGATAAGAAGATGAATGTCAAAGCTCGTGATTACGAACCAAAGCAGTGACTCTCTCAGTCGTCCTGTCTGCACTGGTCGATTTGCAATTTAGCACAAACCCTGTGCCAACAATATCAGTGAGGAGCTTTAGAAGAAGAGAGAAACGCTACAATGGAGAAATCAACGAAGACCACGAAGAACAATGGCAAGAAATCTACGAAACCAGCAATAACACTCGATCAGTTCGTATCAATCATGAATCCACTGATTGACTTGGAGAAGGTTTATTCCTTTCTCTCTCGAATAGTTTAAACTCACCTTTTTTTCTCTCTCTAGCACATTTTGCAGTTAATCGGAATTGCAATTTAATCCGAGTTATCTCCTTCCATCCATTTTGTTTGCTGGACACATGGTTGTTGATTCTTGTTGTTGTGCTCGTATGACATTGATTAGGAAGCGGAGATTTCAGCTTCCCTGAGCTCAGCCGAGACGAGAAGTTTGGATGTTGCTCAGAAGAAGGGTTCCGCTATTCTCAACTTGAAGTGTATAGATGTACAGGTAGTGTATCCTTCTCGTGCTTCTTCTTTCTCTATGTGTACAGCAGGATATGTTTTCTCTGGTGGTTTGGTATGCTTAGTTTTGTATGTATGTGTAGACAGGGCTGATGGGCAAGACTATTATCGAGTTCCAGTCAAATAAAGAAGATCTTCTCCCCCCTCACAAGGTATTATCAAGTATCAACTATGCTCTAAAATTCATGGTGTGTGCGCCAGGCTCGTATGTATTATCAACTATGAAAGAATGGACTAAATCAAGATAAAAAAATAAAGTTCCATTGCTTCTTACTTTCTATGGAGTATATAGTTTTGGGAAGAAAATGCAGCATTAAGGGTCTAGAGGAAACAACCCTCTGTTTTTACATGGTTAAGGTTGCGTACATCATGACCTGCTAATGCAGCTGGGATTATATTGGGTTTGCTGTTGTATGTGGCAGGCTCCCGTTAGCTCTACTGTCCTCTTAGTGCGTTTTAGAATGTGGAGTATCAATAATAATTGATTTGCATTCATTGGCGCTTTTGTGCTCATCTTTGGAATAGATACTTCAGAGTAGTAATAAAAGTCATGTTTGATCGAAGCACAATTTTTTTGGCAAGGTACAATTCTTAAAAGTCACGGAATTCAACTAATATTGTACTCCCACCGTCCTAAAATGTACTTCCCACTTTTCTTTTTGGCCATCCTAAAATGTTCTCATTTACTTGTTCTTCCCACAGAATTTCACTCTCTTAATATCAGTGCCAGGTAAACATCATTAAGATGAACATTTTAGGATGGAGGGGGTATAAACTTATATTTTGTTTAGCTAAATTTATCGTAGTGAACTTGTTTGTAACTTTTCTTCTTCGGAAAGTTACATGAAAATATAGTTCTATTTTAAGAAGTTAGACTTTTTTAGGGATAAAAAAGCTTTCAAAACATGACTATTTTTTTGGGGATGGAAATTGCATGCTATGATGTGAATTTACCTCTTTTTTCAGCAGCATTGTTTATAGGACCAAAATAAATTTCTGAATTTTGTGCTTTTGGTGATGATCGGATTCCTCTAACACAGATCTTTGAGGATATTTCACTTGATAGTGTGTTCTATGTTTCAGAATTATTTCATTCTAGCTATTTTATCTTCTGTGATAAATTCACAAGTCACAACCATCTTTTTTCTGAGCAAATTTCTTGGGCTGGCAGTTTGGAACCCATGACGTTGTTGTTTTGAAACCAAACAAGGCTGATTTGGGCTCTCCTTCACTTGGACAGGGAGTAGTTTACCGACTGAAGGTAATGCTGTTTCATGACATCTGTCAACAGATGGTAGAATCATATTGATAAACGATACCATCTGTACTTCAAAATATATGGAGTAGCTTGAATCTTCTGATAGTATTACTTTTCCATTCATTATTGCTTTCTTTATGGAACAGGACACATCTATTACAGTTTCTTTTGATGATATTCCTGAAGAGGGGTTAAATAGTCCATTGCGTCTTGAGAAAGTGTCAAATGAGGTAAAGTATGAATTAGAAGCTGTTTTAGAACACTTATCTTTTTTGTTTATTTGATTTATATTAGGAATTATTTGAGATCACTCTCTGTCCAGTTACTCATTATTTACAGAGCTATACTTACTGTAAATATACCAGAAAATTCAAAGAATTTTGACAATATTCATCTCATTTGGAGTACCTTTTGCAGATAACGTATCGACGGATGAAGGACACATTGATACAACTGAGCAAAGGGGTTCAGAAAGGCCCTGCTTCCGACTTGGTGCCTGTTTTGTTTGGAGAGAGATCACCAATGATGTGTAAGAAGGATGCTCAGTTCACCCTTTTTAATCCCAACCTTGATCACCCCCAGGTCTTCAATTTCTCATCATTTTCTATATTTTGCACACTTTGGAGCCTTACTCCCTCTCTGAATTCCAGTATTTATCCTCTATCTTCATTCTAATTATACTTTTGTGAGAATTTTTGCAATACTTCAACGATTTTTTGTTTTGAAGATGCTTCAGGGGGGATGGTGGTTCTATTTAGTTTATAGTTTTTAACAAGCACCTTCATACCTGTAGATTTACTGACCTATATCAGATAATTCAGCAAAAGATTTGAAGGTTTTGAAGCCATAAGTTCATAACAGAAGAATTATTGTTCAAAACCAGTTGCCTTAAACTCTTTTGCTCTATTTGAGATTCTTTGTTTAATATCTCTGCCAAAGTGCCAAGTAATGTTTATGCTGCATTGTGAATTATATTTGGTAAAGAAGAAAATTTATTAGATGTCTACCTGCTGAATTTAATCGGTGCTTGCACCTAAGGGAGAAATTCAGAAAGTTTTTCATTGTCCACCGCAATTTGCTTTGACTAGTTTATTGTGTGAAAGCATTCAAGCTTTCTGCACTGGTAACAATATAATAAAGTAAAATCTGTATAAACAAAATATATATTTTAGAGTAATAATGAGTAATGACCATGCCAGCTAAATATTAATCTCCATGTTGATTCTTTTATCTTTGATGCATTGAAAGTTTTGCATCTTATAAGTTGGGCACAAAGCCACAAATGTAGAATTTGCATGTATATCCAATGCCACATTTAGTGGAAAAGATCTTTGGCGTGGTGTTGATTGCATTTCCATGAACTTGTACGTCATGTTTTACTCAGACTGTGTAGATTATTCTTTTCCAGACCTCCATAATTCTCTCCATCATTCTATCATACAACTATTTATGCAGTTCCTATTTGTGGTATCATATAAATGTAGTCTAAAGGTACTCTCTTTTTACTTAAAAGAAAGTTGCCATTACAAAGGCTCTTTCATCCAAGGATGTATTTTTGCTGCATGGACCTCCTGGAACGGGGAAGACAACCACCGTTATTGAGATTATCTTGCAAGAAGTGAAACGAGGATCCAAAATTCTTGCTTGTGCTGCTTCAAACATTGCTGTTGATAACATTGTTGAGCGGCTTGTTCCTCACAAGTAAAATTACATTTTGGCAATTACTTTACCTTCATTTGCAATAACATCCCTTTTCCGTGATATTTTAGATGACATGTGAGATAGCCAGAGCATTGAAAGTATTATTGTTTTTTGCCATTAATTAGTGTCAATATCTCCTTTGACCAATACATTCCCATCTGCATCCTGCTCTCATTGTGTGCATTCTTAATCATTGCTTACTACGAAGTTTTGTAGAGTAAATGCAATAATCCAACAAGTTGGTATATGTGAAATTTTCCTGAGCATTATACAATCTAACCTTTTAACAGAAATAACCTCCCTGTTTTTTTATAGGGGTAAGGTTGCATACATCTTGACCACCTAGACCCCAATCAAGTTGGTATTATACTGGGCTTGTTGTTGTTGCATGATGTTAAAATTTGATAAGATTAATACAACATGCAATATTTCTGTTACCTTTTCAATGTGAGTCTCATCACTTAATACTTCAAAAGATTCACAATTCTGTGTATATAGTTGCTTAGTGCATTTTCGTTAAAGAACATATTGTGGACACTGAAAGTATATATTGCTTTGCCCATTGTGACTAGGGTGAAGTTGGTGAGAGTGGGGCATCCTGCTCGCTTACTCCCTCAAGTATTGGACAGTGCACTTGATGCTCAGGTAAATTTTCCCTTAGTTTGGTGATAAAGGTTAGATTGTATAATGCTCGGGAAAATTTCACCTTGTCTCTTTCTTCATGTGTGATACATGGACATTTATTTCCATTGCTTCAGAACATGTTTCTACTTATTTGAAAGATAGAAGTACATATTTAGATAAATAGTTATATACTACGTATGTGTTAGTTCGCAGATGCAAAATCTTGTTGCATTTATGTGTTTGCGGATTTCAGTTGCCCTAGATTGGTGCTATTTTTTGTTAGAGAGTTCCCCTTGGAGAAACATAGTATAATACTGATGCATCACTTTTTTCCCATCAAGCTATTTTTGTGTATTGAGTAATTTCTTTTCCTTGGAATGCATCTCTTGTAGGTTCTTCGTGGTGATAACAGTGCACTTGCGAATGATATCCGCAAAGAGATGAAGGTAAAATTTGCACTAAAGCATAAGTAGTTAATCTATGAATTTTGCAAAAAATGGTCTGCCTTGTGGTAGTGAGGAATAAAGTTGTAAAGCTAGCAATTCTAGGAGCATGAGGCCATTATCATGAGATCATTATGAAGACTTATTTACACTTTGGTATTGTAAATATTTGACTAAATACTATTCAAAAATGGGAACTTTTTTGCGGGACAGAGGGAGTACCTTTTAATCCTCTGTGATTGGTATCAGAAAATACTCTCTTATAATTATTTTAAAAATAGAAATCTCAATTCTATGACCCTCAATGCTGTGAAATCATTGGCATTCATATTCTTCTAACCCAAGTAATTGATGACATAAATCAAGGAAAATAACAAAATACTTCCTGATCCATATGTTTAATCATACTGTCCTTGCTAGTATTCACTGGTCAAACCAACTTGAATTTATTCTCTTATTTTTTGTAACATTACCTCCTCTGTTCCAAAATCTACTCCTCATTTTCCTTTTTTGGTTGTCCTAAATCCTAATATCAACCTTCCATTTCTTTTTTGGCATACATTTAGTTTTCAGTTTTTACTTCTTTCTAATAATAAAACAGGCGTTTACCCTCAGCCACCTAAATCCTTTAACTTCACTTTTACTAAACTCAAAAAATAGGTATGGGCATTTAGATAAAGATTTTTTTTGCTTGTGTAATTTCCATTGTTCACGATTCATTTTTGTAGGCTTTAAATGGGAAATTGCTAAAAGCCAAAGATAAAAACATAAAGAGAGAGATAAGGAGAGAGCTCAAAACTCTTTCCAAAGAAGAGCGTAAAAGGCAACAACTGGCGGTGACCGACGTAATCAAGAATGCAGAAGTGGTATTAACAACCTTAACTGGCGCATTGACCCACAAGTTGGAAAACACTTCATTTGATGTTGTTATAATTGATGAAGCTGCCCAGGCACTTGAAATAGCATGCTGGATTGCCCTGCTCAAGGTAATATAAAAGAGTGATATTTATATCATGGTTATTTTTTTATTTTATTACACTAACTAAAGGCTTGATTTCAAGGGTTCAAGGTGTATATTAGCTGGAGATCACCTCCAGCTTCCTCCAACCATTCAAAGCGTTGAGGCAGAGAAGAAAGGACTGGGAAGAACACTGTTTGAACGTATTGCAGACTTGTATAGTGACGATGTCATGTCTATGCTCACAGTCCAATATCGTATGCACGAACTTATAATGAACTGGTCATCCAAAGAGCTTTATGACAGTAAGGTACATATCCACTACCATACTTAATATTAGGGCATGAAATTATGATTGATTTGAAATACAATCCATTGTTTTTCTAAAAATGCCAAGATCTAATTCTACTTGGCATTCTGTTTGCTTCGTTCTCTAGATTGAAGCACATGCAAGTGTTGCTAAACATATGCTTTATGACCTTGATGATGTGAAGATGTCATCTTCAACCGAGCCAACTCTAGTCCTCATAGACATTGCTGGGTACAATATTATTTTTACTTTAGTTGTCATTCTTCCAGTTAAAACACAATTTGTTTCTTACTGGGGGCTTGGGAAGCAAATATGTGGCTTTATGTGATACAAATGCATTCTGTTTGTTACTTCTCACATCATAGATGGCTTCTGTTTTAGTTGTGACATGGAGGAGAAAAAAGATGAGGAGGATAGCACAATGAATGAAGGTGAAGCGTTGGTTGCCATTACTCATGCAAAAAGGCTTGTCCAAAGCGGGGTGCGAGCTTCTGATATTGGAGTAATCACACCTTATGCAGCACAGGTAAGAGTCATCATGATGCTATTCCATGCGTCCCTTAAATTTTAAAAGAGTCTTGTTTCACGAAGATAATCAAGATACAACCTTTTAATTTTAGTAAGGCACAAGAATTGTAAATCATTAGTATTTTTAAACTTTATTTGTTGTTGTTGTTGTTGTTGTTGGTTTTACTGGTTATAACAAACTCAACTTGTTTGGGACACTTGTCTTATCAGATAAGTAGCAAGTATAAGACATTCCCAAATAGGTAGTAGGGGCTCCCGGAAATTTGTAAGTTTTACAGAGCGTGCGTTGTTGTGTAAGGTTCTGCTGTTGAAAGTGTTAAGAAGCAAGGAAGACAAGTTAAAAGATATGGAGATTTCAACTGTTGATGGTTTCCAAGGCCGAGAGAAAGAAGCCATCATCATTTCAATGGTGCGGTCAAACTCAAAGCAAGAGGTATTCATGATCTTTTGTGTTTTTTTCTGGAGGAATCTTATTTGCTATTTCAATAGTCGATGTAGCACAAATATGGATATGTTGATCGGACATGGTGATATTGAAATCTCAGAAATATAGTATGTCGGCACATGGGTGAAACTGTAAATTTAAAAATTATCAGTTTCTAATATAGGGTTTTTGATGTTTTCGGAAAAAGAAAAATAAATATACAAGTTCTCTTTGAGTTTTTCCTAATTTATAAACTAAAAACTATGCAACCATCTATAGACAAGGGGTTATGTTTTACTCCGGGATACGAGCATCTGAAAATTTAAAAATTGCAAATGGGTCCTTGAACTTTTGAAAAAATGTGTAAAGCACCAGATTGAACCTGCTAAATAGCCAGCTGGCTTGATCAAAGACTGATCAAAGTTTTCATCTTCAGGTTGGATTTTTGAGTGATCGTAGGAGAATGAATGTTGCTGTGACACGAGCAAGAAGACATTGCTGTCTTGTCTGCGACACTGAGACTGTCAGCAGTGATGCGTTTTTGAAGCGTTTGGTTGAGTACTTTGAGGAGCATGGAGAATATTTAAGTGCTTCAGAATATGCAAATGAATGACACACTTAATAATTTAACCATGCTTCGAACCCGAGTAGCTTCATGTATAAGTAATTCATTCTTTTATGATGCTGATCTATTATCAATGCCATATATACACTCCAATTTCACATTTTGATGCAAATTTTGAACTGATGGTTCTCAATGCATTTCATTTATGAGTAAATAATATTGTTGGTTCCATGCTGGAAAAATAGGCATAGTTTCTTTGTGTATGCATGCAAGTATGTGGCAAAGCAGATCAATTGAACTTGTAAAAACCTTTGTGTGTGAGAGCTTCTATTCCTTTATCGAATTCTAGAATCAAAACCCAGTTGAAAGCCAGAATTCTTGGCAGGTAGCTTTCTTTCAACCAGTTCTGCTACAATATGTTCATTCATTCTCCAATAATACTACATTTTTCAGTTATGCAGATCTAGACGTACTTGACCTGTATAGATTGTTGACGAAGGATCACTGCCGATCAGTTTTGTCCACTGTAATGATATTGTAAGTACATGATTTCTTCACCATCGATAGAATATCTATCTGACAAATGGTATTCATCTAATGATCTAATCACCTTGTTAATCAGCCTGAAGTTGAAATGCCAAAAAGAAACAGGTTTTGTCCTTTTCAAAAAAAATTAATGCCTCTTAACAAAAAAAGGTACTCCACATGTAGTAAGTGGCTTGTGAACTGCATAGACATGCAACAAGTAGAAAATTTAGCTTGAGTTAAATAACAGATCCACCTAATTTTAGAAGTTCCATATATTTGTGTAGAAACCGAGTATAAGCTGCCTGCACAATCAACTGTTTGACTGCTTTCTATTCCTGATATTGCTTCCGGTCCGTCCCAACTGTAGGTTGTCTCCAAACATAGCTTCCGGCTCCGGGAAATAACTAAACAAGTGATCCACATCTGACCGGCAGTTATCATCTTTTTGAACTATTCCCATCTGCTGGAGGAACTCGTTTAGATCAATCTGAGGCTTCTCTCGTTCCTTTTCCTTAGGGTCCTTTTGGAAATAGGATAGTACTAGGGAAAGAAAATTAAGAGAAAAATTAGAAAGAAACCAAATTTCAGTGACAATGAAATTTATACTCAAACTCAACAGATTTGTTTTAGATATCTTTTCGACCTCATTTTATTGATTTTTATTTCTTGATAATAACACTAAAAATGATCTGTGTACGTAAACTTTTTCCATCATCTCTGATAGAGCCAAGATTCACTATTTTTTTGGCTTCAAGGTATGGATAAAATACAACAAAATGACTCTTTAAAGTTTAAACTGACTACGCTTCTTTAATAGTGAATTAGAAGTTAGTCAATGCAACTTCGAATACTCATCATGGGTAATCCAGAAACAGTCCCTCTATGTTTTAAACATAGGGGTCTCCGTACCGCCGAACCCCCCCTCCCCCCCCCAGCAATGGGCGGGAAGGAGCATTTGAGGCATTGGCGTACATTTTTTCATTTTCTTTTGTTTTTTCCATGGTGAAAACAAATATATAGTATAAGAAAATGCAGCATTCATGCACGCTTCCTTTTTCTATTCCCTATTATTTTTCGAGATCCAAACATATATACCTGTATAATCAAACTCAATAAGTTTATTTAGCCTCATTTTATTTATTTTTATTTCTTGATAATAGCACCAAAAAAATTCTGTGTATGTAAACTATTTCCATCATTTCTTACGGAGCCAAGATTCACTGTTTTTTGGCTTCGGGGTATTGATAAAATAGAGCAAAATGACTCTTTAAGTTGTCTATGCTTCTTTAATAGTGAAGTAGAAGTTAGTCAATGCAGCTCATCATGTGTCATCCGGAAACCGCCGCTCTATGTTTTAAACATAGGGGTCTGCGTGCTGCCCACCTCCCCCCCACCCCCCACACTGCAATGGGCGGGAGGGAGCCTTTGAGGTACTGGGGTACATTCTTTCGTTTTCTTTTGTTTTTTCCACAGTGAAACCAAATACATAGAAAAAGAAAATGTAGCATTCATGCACACTTCCTTTCCTTTCCCTATTATTTTCTGAGATCCAAACATATATACCTGTAGTTTCTTAATCATTAACCAAGCAGGGTTGTACGAGTGGTACGACCATGGGGTCACAAGGGGAGATGAGCTGGACGAAGGCGCTTCTTCTGCTTTCTTTAGTTCTTGAAGCCTTTGGTGAACGACACGCACATTTGGTTGCATGTTTAGGTTGAGCAGCCTGGCAGCTGGGAACAGAGAAACCAAGTTGTTGCTAGTGGAAGGTAACCATTTCTTGAGCTTATTGTTGTGGGATCTGTTTAGAGGGTTGTTGGTTTAGTTGGAGGACCTCAACTCAAGTGAGGGAGATTTAGGTAAGCGTCCGGTCCATAGAGTCTCCTAGCAGCCTCATCATAAGCCATGGTGTCGGTTTATCATGCTCTTAGAGCACTCTTAATTACCTTTGGTATATTTAGATCACTTATAGAATTGCTACCTTTGTACTAAATTTATGCATAAAAGAAATAAAATTCATAATTTTTGAAAATAATATCAATAGTTCTAAAAACAAAAATTGACATGAGTATAATGGTCACAATATATACTGTACTAGTATGATATTTCTTGTACATTCATGGTGAGTACTCGTTTATAAGTAATTAAATATTCTTTTTTAGCAACTGAATGCTCATTTTCAAGTAATTGAATACTCATTTTTCAAAAATTTAGTTATACTCATAAATAAGTATCCAAACAGATGTATGCGAAACAATATACATCTAGATGTATGCATACGTGCTCATGGTCAAATTGTCGATAAAAATATGCAAATGTAATACTGTAATAATTTGACCATATAAATACAAATTATGTTCTTTATTTTGAGACGAAAAGGGTAAATGAAACGGAGTATATTGAATTTATATTATAATTAAATATATATTTTAAACAAAATGTGATAAAAAACGTCTCTTTGACAAAAAAAGTCAAAACATGAATTTTTTTGGATGAGACAGTACATACGAGTAGTAAATAGATACTTCCGAGTAATGATTTCTCACTTTGACTCTGCAAAAAATAAGAAAAAGCGTATGTTGAAAAGATATTTAAAATGTTGAATATTGAAAAAGAAAATTATTTTGGAGCAAAAAACTTTTGATCTTTTTTAGGAAAATGGAAAATGAAAATGAATTTGTTTTTTAGATGGAGTTAGTACTTACTAGGTTTGGATACATTAGACCGAATTCTAATATATCATCAGTATAAAAATTACGGGAGTAACTTTTTTCATTGAAATGAGTTTCTATATTATATATACACCTGGATATACAATGTTTTTGTATAGTCAACATATGCATATTAATAAATTAAGGGATATTCATTTCACACGTTTCTCTCTTTGCATTTACGTAAAACATGCATATTAGTATGAAATTGATGCACACATTATGCTAGAAATCAGATACGATTGATACCACTGATGCAATGGATTGTGAACTTATACAAATACAGATAATAATTATCCGTAAACACATAGAGTTCGCAAAGGATTATTATCGCTTGTGTATAAATTCACATTCAGTTGTCATTCGGGTGTCAACTATATTGAGTTTATAGCATTTTCAATTACACCACGCTTATTTTGTTGTTAAAAGAGATTTTCGCTTTGTTATAGATAGCTTTTTCAAAATACTAACGCTATTCTCTAATGCTGATACCAAACGGAACCTTAATGTTTGGCCGATGAAAAAAAAAGGTAAGAATGCTGGGTATAAGTTATCTCGTTTATATATAAAACTAAATATATTTATTTATTTACTTATAGCTACGAGACAACGGAAAAGACGACACAAATGAACAAATTTTATTTGTCCTATTTCCGTTCTTTTTTATTCCGTTCGTTCCTAAAATAAATTTACTACTCGAATGACGTGCAAAGTCACGTTAATTTTAAAATGATTTTGTTTACTAATTGGTATAGAAATAAGAATTAAATTTATATATTTAAAAATCACATAAAAAAATTTATAAAACAAGAGATAATAAAAATATTTTATATTATTAAATGACCAATAAAAAGATGTAAACAAAGTTACATGTATATACTATAATCACAAAGAACATCCCGATTCAAATGACATTGGACTTCAAAGTCATAGGATTACCCGAGCACTCTCTAACCCCTGGTTAACTTCTCACTCCAGTTTGGCCCAAATCAGGCTAAAATTTTTGTGGTGCAATTAGAAGGGGTGGGGGTGGTATCAAGTCAAGTTAGGATATAGTTGTTTATCGAAGAATTAAAGAGATAAAATCCATCATTATTTTTTAAATGAAACAAGGCAAGTGCTCCAATCTTGGCCCAACTCATAAGATGAGATGATATGGGGGACCCCAACCTCGTTCTTTGTTGAGACTAGTGGAGTTTGGGGGACAAAATTGTGCCCACCAGGGAGAAACCCGTACGAAAGTTTTTTGATTTTTTGAGGACAATTCCGGCCGAAAGTTGGAAGGCCGCATACCTCTTGCAGCGGTTGTCTTTCTTTCTCGCCGGAGTTCTTCGCTACTGTCTGCCAGTTTCTAGAATCTGGCCTTCTTGGAGGAGCCGCTGGGATAAAGGTTTTATTTTGTCTTTAGTTATAGATATACGATGTCTGATTTCTGAGAGGCATAAGAATATGTGGACTTTTATCTTTTCCATTGAATATATTTGTTAAAGCTTCGGATTTATGAATTAAAGAAAAAAATCTGAATGTATGTGTTTGCGAAACATCCATTGAAGCTTATGATTTTTTGGATTTGGTAAAGCTTTGAAACAATTTGCCGAAGTGTATGAATTTTGACATTGCTAAAAGGAAAACTGTGCATCTGAATATATGTAATTGCATAAGATTTTGGATCTGTGATTTTCCGATTGCTTCTGAATTTATGAAATTGCTAAAGCTTGAAACAATTTACTCAAGCTTATGAGTTTATGAAGCTGCAAAAAGGAAAGAATACACGAAGTATATCTGAATTTATAGATTTTCTAAAGATTTTGAATTTATGAATAAAGCTTTGGAAGAGTTTTCTAAAGCTTCTGAATTTTTTTCGTCTTCTTCTTTTGAATTTTATAACATTTCCTTTATTTTCTTTGGAAGCTCCAGAAATTAAAAGTATAGTTTAACTCTGTTTTATGGCAGCTGATTTTTTTTTCACAGTGAGATTGAGTGGTTTTGGTGTTTTATATGTATCACGAGCTTTACCCCTTGAGATACCTGAGACTGAAATAAAAGCTCTACTCTTACATCAATATAACTTATATAAGTATGCAATTTATTTATATAAGTTAAGGATGTAAACTTCATTGAGTCAATGACGAAAGATGTAAATGTTGTTTTGCTGGGATGTGTTACCAATATGGCATTAAGGTGTGCATCTCTCACTCTAGTTTAGCGTCGCTTATATTGTGAACTTTTGGTCTTAACCTTTTAAAGCCAACTTTTTAACTTAGGCTCTGCCATCAGCTTTGGCTAAAACTTGAACCCACCTACCAATAATGTAGTATGAATTCCTCACTAGATGGCATTAGGTGATTATGATAGTTCTGCCCCCTTTAAAATTTATGATAGCTTACTTCAATCTTGATGTCATTTCTTGTCTATTGGACGTATGAGTCCGATCGAGCCCACACATGGTTTGGCATGCCAGGTCTTTTTGTTTTAAGGGTCACAAGGCTCCTAGAGTGGATAGCTTTATCGTCCGTTCTTGGTGTTCACAGTTTCAGGATGCTGATGTTGATAGTTGGATATGGTTTGCAATACAAAAGGAAGTATAAATGTTTGAATTAGACTTGGAAGGGCGTCGTCGGACCTGTAAATACAAGTTATTGGCACCGTAGTGTTCATTTGTTAGCCTAAGATCCATCAAGTTGGGCATGTAAATGTTGAGGATGATA